AGACAGCGCCAAAAGTTTCTCAAGGAAGTCATTTCATGTATTGACGTTTGCGAAAAGCGAGGCCAATCCAGCCGTTAATTGTCTCATGTCGGCGGAAGTATACACGCAGTGGGGACGGACGCCACGGAAAATGCCTTAAATCCGGATCGTACATGCAAAGGGAAAAAGCAGTAAATTTCGTGAAGTCGCTTTTCTAACACGATTTTTAAAAATTAGTTTTTAGTTTTTAATATAAAAATACTGGCAATAAATATACGAAGTAGTAAGTATTTCTCATGACGGTGATTGGACTATGATGTCGCACGATTTGCTTAACTCAATGGTGTCAGATTTACAAAATAAATGGGACAGTGCTCGAGAAGTTTCGTAAGTTGGTGATCAGTAATCCGAAAAGAATGAGATTTGCTCAAACAATGTTCGACGGAATAACGTCGTTGAAGGCGTCTGATATGTACTGCGAACAATATTTACTTTTAACCAGAACTGCGAAAAGTGATTTTGTCAAAAGAAGCGAAGAGACGAGTCTCAGGAAGCAGTCTTAAAGAAGGAGCTACGCTCGTTTGGACAAGATCGTGTCTCCTTCTTCAAGAGAGTTAATTTTTTTCAGGGGTATTAGTGATTGGTTGGGCATGCGGTATCTGTTTGCAAAATGCGCCGCCCGTAATATACGCCCAACACTGCGCTCTGGCAACAAAATAAGAGTTTACTCGGCGTGAGGGTCATCGCTGGGTTATGCGCGCATAATTTTAGTAGCTTGCAGCTTGCCGTCAATTACCTAGGCTATGTCGTGCAGAGAAGTCATCTTACAGTCGACGATCTTCGTGCTGGTGCATATAGTCAGTGCCAACACAAACATTTTACGTAAGTAACGCTTTCCGAACTGCCCAAACGCTTATTTCAGTTAGTTGCATTTTTTGTTTATTATTCTTTCAGTGATTCACACCACACATAAATAAATGCCTGTTAAAAGTAATAGACGGGAGACGCCAACACTTACATATGGTTGAAAAAACTGGTAACTGGGCCCGTGCGTTCTTGCTGTGTGACTTTTAGAATCCCCCGTTGTTTAAACCCGTGAAACTACAGTTAAGTTTGCAGCAGACAACATAGGGACTCTCAAAATAAATATTCAGCAGTCAGTTTGTTCAAAATGAATGCTCGTCTATCGGTTGTACGTATAATGCTTTGTCATATTGACTCATAAACGCTCTTTTATACTAAAGACATGGTAGGAAAACACCTTGTACTTCCGTTTGTTTATATGCATGTCAAAAACATAACTATTTTCTAAAGACACTGCAAAGAACTTGTTTAGAGCACTGCGTGGCACAACTGCGTAGGTGAATACAAACAGTGATGTAAACGTTACACACTCATATATCATAAGTAGATCGAGCTTATCATTGGTCTGTTAGAAGGATGTGGCTGTGAATTTGACGTATAAGTGAGAACTTTGCGCATGGAGTCAACATTCGGGGATAAAACAGAATCAGCCGACAGGGCCTTCCCCGCTGCAACCGCTATGCACTGAAAGAAAATTGACGTCGTTGACGTCGTTTCAATAGATGACCGCGGAAGATGAGCGAGCACGCTAGAGCTAAATAATCGTTGGGGCAAAGCAACAACGCAGGCTATACATAATGTGCAAAGAAAGTTAAGAACTCCCTTACAACAGCCTGTACGAAAGTGGATTGATGTGACCGTCGGTCGTCTAGTTACCTAAGACGGTACCGAATACCGACTACATCGCTTCAAATGTGGTGCGCGTATGCTACGGTTAAATAATGGACTATCCGAGTGTAGACATGGTAAACATAACGCACATCTTGGTGGAGTTTGCGTGATACAGGTAGCTCAAATGATACATGCGGACCGTAAGTACCGTAGATGTGCTAACTCCTGAAATGTCATCTAAAAAGACATATTTTGCTTTAAGTGTGGCATTATGTATATTGAATTTGTTTATGCTTTATATGTGTTAATGTATCCAAATGGAAGAAACATTGGTCCTACTATACGTGTATGCACTAGTTACACACCTACAGTAGATGTGCTAACTCATGAAATGTCAACCAAAATTTTGAAATGCCTTCTCGTATCGAAAAGATAAATTAAGTAGTGCTGTATAACTAATCATGATGCAGCATTAATCTATAATGATCCGGTTCCCAAGCAATGTCGGATTTAGAAAGAACTTATTTTTGGTTGCATGCAAGATCTTTACTCTGCAAAACATGACTACGTATGTAACATGCAATTTTCTCATTGATTTACGATGCCCTTCAATCATATTTCATGGAAATATTCTATACAAATATTCATTCTTTCACTTATTCGGTAGAAAATTACGTCTTCTTCCAATTTCATAATCAAAAAGTGTCTAATTCGGTTTTAAAAAAACTTTTCTTATTTATGAATAATGTTAAACCCGACAGGCTCTTACACTTCCATTCAGGGTTTCATATCTACAGGCTTTATATTTTCCGTGTACGAAAATTCATGCAGTTCTCTACGGTGTTAAGAGGAGACCATATGAGCTTCATGAAATTAAGCAGTGGATTTGAGCAATATTGTTAACTATGCAAGCGACATTCGTAAATGCGTATACATGACGCTTCATGAACAGCTATTTAATGGTAACAAAAAAATCGCACAATAAGAAACTTTTTAAAACCAAATTATGCTCTTTTTGAGTGTGAAGTTGGAAAAAGACGTAATTTTCTACCGTATACTTAAAAGAATGAATATTTTTATGCATGCCTTTTTATATATAACTGCATTTTCAAGGGCATCTAAAATCAGTGAGAAAATAGCATGCCACATAAGCAGTCATTGTTTGAAGTGTGTGGATCTTGCAAGCAGCCGAAAATAAGCTGTTTCTAAAGCCGACACCCTGAGGTATCCGGATCATGTTAGATTTATGCTGCATTATGATTTGTTTTACAACAATACTTAATTTATCTGTTCAAAACGAGAACGCATTTCGAAATTTTGGTTGAAATTTCATGAGTTAGCACATCTACTGCAGTTGAGAAAAACCACGCAAAACGCGTAAGAATTCGGTCATGTGACATTGATTGAGTAGGACAATTATTTGTGCGATGTGCTCGGGCCCGAAATGCATTACCTGTTGCCCAATAAGAATTAATAGTGATTAACCTACCTGTGCATGACAGTGCACTATCAAGGTCAGGGGTGCTGATTGGCCACTCTATAACCAATGACGATTCGCCGCGTCATGAGCGCATAACACTTGTGTTGTCAGCTGTTCTTGCTTCAGTCCTACCGGCAAACAGCCCCCGGTTTGCACGCATAAAACGCCAATCGGTTGGTGAAACAGTCGACCGAGGTTATTACAATGTTCACTGTGTACTCCACAGCGCAGTAAAGGCAGGGTTGGTGACCTGCGCGGCAAAGCAGTTTATAGTGGTTTTAAACGTGCGCAGAATCCTAGCCCTCTCTCCGTCTCCCCACCAAGATCCGGTGTAAAAATTAGTCTAACAGTAAGGAGGTGGGTAAGTCCAGGTGGCCGGCACGGCGTAAACACGCAGTAAAAGACATACCACCACACCTCCTGGTCCACAGCGTGCACTGAACAGGATTTATTGCCACAGCAAACAAGGGATGTCACAGAACCCAGTTGGCGCGCGAAGAACGACAACTGGACTTGCCACCGGTCCTCAGCGTTCTCATTCCTGGCCAAGCCTGCCAGTGTATCTACCGTATGACCTGTTTTAGAGGAATATGACGAATTAGTTATAACGAGCCAAGCGGTCAAGTAATTCGCATTGTCCTAACTGAAAAAAATCTCGGTGCCGCGTTGGGATTCGAACACACGACAGCAAGGAGGCGGCTTTAGTACCGCCAATGCTCTGGCCACCTGAACTGTGACGCCTCATCGTAAGACATGCGTTTAATCACATTTGGGTCAATTTTACCCGCCAAACCTTTTGCAACATATGGAATTTCCCAAACTTGATACAGTAAGTCGACTGCGCAAGCAGGATTTTGAAAGTAATGCACCTAAAATCAACTTGATTACTACGAGGCTCACATAATTCATATTGAGACAAATGTGAAACATCCGACGCGCTAGTGGGATTTAAAGCCATGATAGCAAGGTGACGGCTTTTTTACATCCAATGCTGTTTTCATCTGGGCTACGAAGCCCTACCCGGAACCTGGTACTCATGTAACGGATTCTAGGCCAATTATTAAGGACATCCTGCATGGGCATTCAACGGACTGTGTCAGATTCAGTGGATTTCAGACGTTGCAGTAGGTTTGGCGGGCAACTTGTCCAAAATGTCATTATACTCAGCTCCCAATATGGGGCCTCATAGCTCAGTTGGCAAGATAGTTGGCTGTACTAAAGCATTTCTGCTTACAGCGGTGAGTTCGAATCCTACCATATCGTCGTGTTTTTTCCCAGTTGGGTCAATATAAATTGTTTACAATCTGCCAAAACATATCTAAAGGGTCAGGCAATTACCACACTAGTTATGGACACTGATTATGGATTCGTTTGCCCTCCTTGTTGACGCATTCCGATCTATAGATAAGACGCTTGCATTGGGAAATTTCTGTTTATGCGATCGTGTCTAATTCTCATTAGACGCATCGCCGCGTGCTGCTGGGATATGTGAGGCACTGTAACTGTATCAGACGAACTCGGAAACCATAAACATTTGAGCAGAATCGGTTGATTCCCACTATTACTTATGGCTGTTTACATTGTATGTATCAAGGTCGATTTGCGCTGCCCGGGTTCAGACATAGGATTCTACCCGCACCAATTCGTTGAGAAACGATTCGAAAATTCTCATGAATTCAGCGCCTCCATGTTGTACGCCCCAAAAAGCAGGACTCAACTTTTCATGAGGACATCAGCCAATCCACAAGTACACCAATGTTTCTACGTTGATCACGTTTTCGAGGCAAAATACTTCAGGATGTCATGCAACCTGACGTTCTCTAGTGTAGCATTTGACATTTTTCGAATGGTATGCATATAACACTTTTTATACGAATCAAAAAGCATTTATTAACTTAAGTGTTGCTATAATCTCATTGTCGATTGATGATCTTACGAAATAAAGTTAGCATAGAAACTACATTTTAAAAAATGAGAAAATTATTGTGACGGTTCCTTATTTTCCTAAACTTTATGCAGTCCATTTAAACTATACACGTTAATGCAGACGATGACTGAGAAGTCCAGTATTAACCTATTTACATTCGTCAACCGGTCATGGACAAACACATGTCTTAATGATTCCGAATTTCGATATGAATTTTCGTCATCGAAGGTTTGTAAGCCCAAACCCTAACCCTATGCAATAGAGCCTTTACGCTGGGATTCGTGAGCTCACATATTCCTTCAGCATATGCACTTATATGTATTAAAAATGGACATCCTAGAGCATGTTACTATCAAGGCTATAAATCACATCGGAATCACCCATATATTAAGAATTGATACGCGACTTCGAGAAACTGCTGAAATAACCCTAAATAGAAATGAAAGACAAATCGGTGACTACTTTACGCATAAAGCTTGCACACTATAAGAACAGATTTGCATGTCTCGATATAGAAGATGTTGTCTGAAAAATCCCATGAGTCGCTTGTGATGGAAGGAATCAAGGCTTAACTGCGGAGTCAATCTCGCCCTCGGTTCTTGTACGTGGCCCATTATTCAAAAAATGTGCTCGGGCCCGGGTGCTGAAATTTAACTCGATAAGCGTTCTTTCGTTCCTGAAGAAGTGTGCCTATTTCTTGTATATGTTTATAATGACATGCCATTGTCCATGCAGATCCGCAGTCTAGATAAATTAGTCAGTTCTTAATCACCCATGGGAGAAGACGAACATAAAGAGCAAGCGATTTCATGGAAAGTGCTGTGTTCATGCTGATGTTTCGTAGACCTGTCGATTTGCATCATCAGGCTCGTGGACGGTTTTTTTCCTGCTGATCTGGACTTCTTCTGTCTTGATAGAGATGTGGTCTGTAAATCGTCCTGCCGTCGTCTCACGCAGTAACAAGTAGCGGTTCTGTTCTATGACGTTAAGTCCAGCACAAGATATGTTTAAACTGAATGCTTTATTGCATTTTTCGACTTGGTGCCTCAGAAGTGTGAGGTAGTTGAGAAGTTCGAGAATGTCTTGCAGCAAGAAGTGGCGACTTAACTCCCTCACCAAAAACGTCAAATAACGGTTTCTATAGCCGAAAATTGAGAACATCTGAGGATACAAACGTCAACGATATTGCTACCTTGGCCGTCGACAGGCGGCACCCGACAAACGTCATGAATACAGTTGCACACTGGATCAAACTGGGCGATCTCTTGATGGACAAAGGGTTTTTTCTGCTAAGGAATGTTAATGAGTTCAAAAACCTCGCGCACAACATAAACAATAACATTGGCGAATTGAGGGAAGGGGGCCCCAATAAAAGGAGGATAACGGACAAAATGACAACTGATTTCGTGATGGTACACTTCATCGGCCTGCAAAATTTACGCGCGCCTGAAGGGTTCCCAAAACCCATCGTCCCCTTGTATGACTTCCTAAGAGTTGGTGATTAAAGTGACAATACTGAACACTTTGTTTTCCCACTAAGGACTCAGAGTGGACAATAAAGTTGGTTAAAGAGTGTTTGAAGTGCATCCAATAAATCAATATAGAGGCAGACGAGGTGGTGACGCCGTCTAACATGATCTCTCTTCTCCCACCGCCCCCACTGGCGATGGACATTATCAATGGCCTTCTCGTGGAAATGTATGATGAGTTCACTCGACAGCTCTGACGAGTTCATATCATCGAGCTTCTAAAACCGTGCCTAAAGACCTTCTTCACGTTCAGCGTCCATATCTACAAGCAAACGAAGGGGCATCGATATTCTTACCCTTGTCTGAACTAATTGCCAAACATGTTTTTCAAATGCTCGAAAATCTGGCCGTCGACGACACGTTGGCCACAATCAAAAGGAGCAATGTACGGGTTGTCGAGGTATTTAGTTTCTCCGCATTTCCTGTTTATATGGAGGGAGATGTCGATATTCATTTGCAGTTTCTCGACTAACAAGTTGCAAAGCCGGCAGGCCAGAAGATAAGAACAACGGTTTACCGTAAGCTGACTGACACTAGAGCCACCCTACAGTGTCTTTCACAAACTCAATTGTGGCAGCGGAAATAGAGGATTGTGTAAGGGCACTCCATATTTGACGCCAATATTTACCCGAAATCCTTTCACATGCAAGGACCTCAAAGAGCTTTATTTTGAGCGACCGAAATTGGAAAGGTTGAAATTTTAAACCAGAAATCTCTATGTAATGATGGCTTTAAAGGCGACGGCAATATTTCTAAACATTTCGGGATCATAAAACGTAATCCAAAGTAGGACAGCAAATTATTTAGACCAATGACTCGCCACAAACAGCATACCAATCATCAGTGGTCTACAATAAACGCTTTGGCACAAGACTGCATGAACACCTACTTTCAATCAAGAACACGCCGTCTTTTAGTTTTATGGTCACGTAAACATGTCTAAATATAGTTTCGCGCTTACGAAACCGTGAGTGATCGACAGAGTCAGTGGGCATCGAGCAAGGCCATAATTTGAGGTAAATGGCAAAGCTGAAAATATAAAGACCAGCAGGTGCAACACGCCTTATACTCTGGTCATGGAAGCAAAAAGGTTTCCGAAACGTATGTTGGGACGCAATATGGTTGATATAGTTTCCGTTTCTTCTTTTTAGTCTTGTAGGGAAGATTTGAGATGCAATATATACATATAAATTAAGAAAGGTGAAGTTATTTGGGGACCAGCAAGGAAAGACCGCGAATTCCTGGACAAAATGACCACTCTGTGCATATTTTTATGTATTGCTAGGGTATTAAGCTCTATCATCGAAATGGGTACAAGGAGCGCGTGCTTATTTGGTAATACTAACAATATTGCTTGTTTGTATGACGAGTAGCACGCAGTGTTTAGCACGCGGTGATAGCGTTTGCTCAAATTTTCATGGAAATGTCGTTGCTGGCCCCAATTAGCTATTTTCCAGACACTAGGGTCAAAAGTATTCACATTTTTAGATTCGATAGATATTTGTTCGAAACTTATTCAAGGCTGGTATTTGTAAAGCCGATCAGCATTAACTTACCAATGACATAATTACAGAGTAGTTTTCTTTCGCACTACATGTCATTTTCGGGGTAGTTGTCAGTGTTAATAGTCATAATGCGCACTTAGTTTTTAGACTGAATATGACCACATAAATACAGCCATTTTTGATTGAATGCTTGTCTACACTTATGCAGGTTGTTTCATATTTGTCAAACAGGGAATGTGCTGTTTGTCCCATTCCAGACAAAGTCGGGTATCCATCGCGTGTATCTGACGAGAGATCTGATGTACGTTGATCTGCAGAATGTTGTTGCAGAAGCAGAAGTGCACTACTTTTACGGCGCCGGACAAACTGGAGGAACCCTGCGAGCTACAGGGCTGCAGTTCACCAGCTTGACTGACATCAAGAGATTGCAAGATGTCATGGAATCACTACGCAAAATGAATACATGGAGACGATCTGCTCTGTCAATTTTCGAAAACCTTGCGACTCAGGCATTTTTAAATTCCCCGGTGATGACGTGCGTCCTATAGATACATTTTGTCTTTTATGCTGGCCTGGAAAGTTCTGAATTACATGGCTTTACAAAAAAACCTTGGTTTTTTTGATGCATTTTTTGCCAGGAATTGGCGGTCGGCGACAAATTTCAACCGGGCAAAATCACTTGATACTGTTATTCCCCTATCTCGATGACCTAGAAGGTTTTCTAAGCGGGTTGTGTACAAACCCTTAAAAAAGTTGTGATATAGGTTTATGTGACATCCAAATGGCACAGATCAACCAGATCATGCAGCAAGCACTGCAGTTTCCCCGAGCATGATTTGCACTTTACAGCTGTGTGGCACACCGTACTAGCTACTGAACAGAAACTTCTGATATATCAATTCCATCAACTCTGTAGATTTAGGTAACAAAAATGACAAAGCAAAGTGTTAGCGAGCGGGTTGGTGTATTTGCATGCCGCGCGAAAAGTGTAAAGCGCGAAACCTTGACTATTTAGTTTCATGCACTGCCAACAACCGCTCGACTCCTCGGAATGTCCCCATTCCACGGAAGCTAGCGTTGCATTACTCATAAAGGCGCGATGATTAAATTTTTTGATCAGCAGAAATCCTGCAACCGTATGCAAACAAGCAATACGTCTACTAAAAAGCAAACTTGTTCTTGGCAAACTGGAGATGCTAGAAAGATTTGAAGGGACTCCTGGTTACACATGGGCAGGGTTCATCATACCAGAAAGCGAATAACTAAGGCAGAGTGTGTAGCCGGCTGTAGGACCTCCAAGAACGGTTGTTTACTCTGTAACAGTTCCTAGAAATGGAGTGCCGAATTTTCGAGGCCAAGTTGGTTAGGTCGCGGCATGTCACGTCTCTCCGACTGTGCATTCCTGATTGTCATCTACGTGGCATGTAGTTATACAGAAGTGGTCAAATCAACACTCCAATAAACACCTCCGACTATGATGGGCCAATGGTTTCAACGCTGCTAAGAACGCTACAGACCCCCAATTACCCATCGATTGGAGACTTGACTGATTATTTTCCTAGTAAATATCGTCCCGAATAAATATGAACTCGGAAAATGGCATTGGCGCTTTTCACCTTAGCTGCATGCCATTGAATATAACGTGCAGTTATCACGATGTTCTTCAGATCGTGGGAGGCCCCACGCGTTTTACCTTTAAGTCAATTATCGACAACGATAGCTTATCGTCTATGTCGCGTTGAAAAGGATACCCGAAGTCAATACGTATTGGATTTCAGTTTAATTGCATGACTTTGATTCTTCTTTTGGACGCTACACCTTTTTAACCTTCTTTGCATGCATTAAGGTTTTAATAGCTGTAACGTTACTTTTACGCAAATTGTTTTATTTTCTGCTTGTGTACGTCTTTGGCTGCATGGTCTGCCACTCAAAATTTGCCGATAATTTTGTAATACTTATTGTTTTGTTTTCGGTACATTTGTAAGCTATTGTTTAGCGAAGCTGATAAGATAAAAATATTAAGATGAAAAAAATTTTTACCAGCTTCCGTGCCATTCATACGGAAAGTGAAAATCCGAAGAACATATATGCATGCTGTCGCCATGCGCTTGCAAAACATTACCATGTATTCTACTCAGAACCCATGCTGTTTTTGCTGTTTCCGTACTCATAGTGCCCTTTGAACGCACATCTTGTGTGATTGGGGGTGACGCAGGTACTCCATACTGATGATGAGAATGATGGCACACTTCATTCATGTGGCAAAAGGGTAAAAACTTCGATATTAGTTCGTATTTAAGCATCATTAATTATGCTTATAGCTGGATGCTATTTTTGTCTACTCTTCATGAAGCATCATGATCTAAAAATGTGGCGATATTCAAGAGGTTTTTCTCGTAATGCATGCGCGCATTGTCAGTCCACATTCGATTTAATAGCTTCCATGCACCTAGTAGCATTTCAATGTGTATTTTAACGCATTGGTTGAATGGGTCCCCATAAGAGGGCGCAGTCTTTTTATATTTTACGGTTGACAAATTTGGGATATCCGGGTTGGTTATTTGAAGAAGAAGAAGAAGAAAAAGAAAAAGATAGGCATTTTGAAGCAGGTTTATTAAAATGCTGACGTTTCAAAGAGCTTGCTCGGCGCTACATTGCCAATGTGTAAAATGCGCTTAGTCGAACGGAAATTCCAAGTGGTATGTTGTGTTCTTCGGCCTAATGCTGATCGCTTGTTGTGTCATCTCGCAGGCTGAAACCTCAGCAGTGATTTACGAAATAAATTGCAATAAGGGCGACTGCAACTATGTTAAAGAAACCGAGAGGAAATAGCGGCCATTAGGAGGTGAGAGCCCAACTCTCAACTAGCAATACACGTTGGAGAAACAGGACATGCTTTTGACCTACGGAGGACTACCATCTTAGGCCGAGGCATCACTAAATCAGAACGGCTAAATCAGGAGGTTTGGTTCTCTGTTGCCCACTGTATCTACAGGCATCTGAACCTTCCTGCATATTACAAAGTCCTACGTCATCACAATCTTAGAGCTCAGGACCAAACAATCACAACGGACTTAAAAAGGCCGAACAGCGAAAATTTGACACCCGTCAACTATCCTCCGAGAACCATAGCAGCGAATGGAGAGGAACTTCGATCCGTATGAGGCCGACCAAACCAACAATTCCCCTTGAAAATTGCGCTCGATTAAGTGCATTTTACGCTTTAACATTGAATAGCGAACAAACGCTTTAAAAAGTCAGCATTTAAATAAACCTGCTCCGAAGTGCTACTGGCCTTCTTTTACCTATATCTGTAAGCACCGAGGTATATAATATGCGTACGACACATCTAGGATTTATGCAATAAAAAATTCTTCTTAACCCACTCACCATACGAATGTTTACGATTGCGACCCGCTCGTGGTCAGTACCACTGACCCAGTCAAACCACTTAAACATAAGTAGTCGTTTAACTAGACACCAAGATTAATTTTGCGCAGTTGCCACGATTTTAACTTTGTTGTGATCTAACCCATCCCTTCATACATTGCGATTACTTGCAATTGACATGGGCGTGTGAGAGGTAATCTGAAATACACTGGGGATGATTAAGTAAAACAGTTTTCTCGAATGTCTGAACCGAGATACTGCTTCAACAATTGTGGAATTGTATATTTCCTTCCGTTCCAATTAAATGCATGATTAGTTTTATTTCCAATTGATGTCACTATTGGGCGTCGAAATACTAACTGCACTACGCGTTGAGGTTGCGTGTAAAGAAAAGCGATGCGTTCGGCCTACCACAAAAGCGATATGGGGGGAGGTTCAATTAAAATCCGGCTTATATGACGATTTTGGTTTCCTTTTCTCTTGGAGACTCGTTGGTAGCATGGTCTGCTACGATCGAAATTTGTCATTATTCGAATTTGTTTATGTTAATCGTGGATTTTTGGGTCAGGAATGGGCAAACCCTAAAATATTGGCGTCCGGAGGCAAACAATCAGCGCATGTGGGACGGAGGTCGCAATTTGACCAAGCAGAATGTGGTGTAACAAAGAATGCGGGTTCATTATGCACTCATTCTGCCAGTTAAAATCCTGATTAACCAGTCCCTTTTGCAGGTCGTCGCGTTATGGCTGTGATTTTCGTCCCACGTAGTAATTGGGGTTGTGAATCCTTGCATAAATGAAAAATAAGCCATACGTTTTACTGTATGACCCTGCCCCTATTTTATGACCGCCCCTCTTTGATATTTATGTTTCATACTTTTTTGACGTCACACCTTATTTTACTTTGTTTTTTTTTCAAATACGTGGAACATTTAGTCGTTGTTTGCATTTCACGCAAAAAATCTTTTGTTTTTTGACTTTCGTACGTTTTTGCCGCACGGGCTTTCATTGTCGTTGGGCTAAACACTTGCCGACAATTTCATAAAAGTTATTGTTTTGTTTTCGAATGTTATTTGTTATCGCAGGTTACTGGGTTTTCATTTACATTCGCTTCGTGCAGCCTTCATATGGTGGGCTTTTCTTCGTTTAAACGTGATTTATACGCCTATCGGACTTTTTCGATACATTATTTAAGCTACTGTTTAGTGGACCTGATAAAATCCAATGCAAGAACCGTATTAGAAACCATGCGGAGGAACTGATGACTTCGGTTTAGGTTTTCGGGACAAGAAGATGGATATGCTGTGTCTTTCTGTGACCTCTGAGCACATAAACGGATCAATACTTAAGGCGTAATGTTTAGTTTACAGGCTGACGATAACTTTAGCTGTAGCCACCCGACTCTTGATTTTTATGCCAGGGTGTAAGATTGGCCTTGTGAGTCCGTTGTGTTCGTAGAAACGGACAGTTATATACGTACGCTGCAACAGAAAGATAAGAATCGTTAATGCACAATCCTCATAGACAGACACAATATTAGGACTGCAAAAATAAGAACAAAGTAAACAAAATAGGTCATTCGAGAGACAAAAATATCAGACTTTGGCTACCGACCTTCCTTGAAACTTCATTCCGTCATACGGCATCGATTTTACCGTCTAATAGTGAAATGCCTGTAAAGGGCAGCCCTTCAGATTTTATTGTAGCTTTACAGGGTTTCAGCGTCTTTTACTTCATCCTCCAGACAGATGACATTTGACTGATCATTTTCAGTCAAAACCTACTGCTGGGAAGTTCACGGTAAAAGGCAATAAACAAAGGTTATCAAGGGTCAGGAGGACTCCAGAATAGCAATCAACTTCTCAAATTTTTTCATCTTAGAGGAAAAAACAATAACAAATACGTACATGAAGTATACATTTAATAGATTCTAAAGTTATCTGTCAATTTAAATCAGCCACTTGCATATAAGTAGGTAATCGATATGCGTCAGTTTGGTCATAACTACGTTGGACTAAGTGTTTCTCGTAGACATGACAGGGCCAGTGGAAGAAAAGCAACTGTTCCTCAAATGCAGGCTGAATATTAATACTAATTTTAAAACAACTGTTGACTCAATACCAGCTGTCGTTGTGAAATCTACACGCTGTGACATTTCAGTGACCAGTCATTATCGAGGTAGATGGGAGCTAGTTTAAACTAAGGCATTGGGCAAAAAATGAGTTTCGATGCGTGGTATGTTTTAAAATTAGATGCCATGGCATGGATATAGTCCGTTTAAGGGAAAAACGGACGAGAAAACACGACGGGTGAAAAGTTAATGTGGCCTAAATACCTACAGTAGAGTAAAAAACACTTGCTAGCTTGCAAAATGGGATGATTCGGATAGAATAGATAAATGTGACGGAGAGTATGTTAATACATATTCGGAATCTAAGTTAGAGCGCGGAAGGCATATAACTGCGATTCATACAGTGCGTGACCTATCTCATGAAATGTTTGCTGAAATTCTGAAATGCGTTTTCGATTAGGAAGTATTACTTGGTCGCGGTTGTGATACTGATTATCTTAAGGCTTACTCTTATTACATTTTGGACTCGACAGGATGCCTGCTTTAAAATGCACTTCTTTTTAATCTCCTGTATGAAGCGTGCTCGGTGAAAAATGACTACTTAATTAGCATGCGTTTTTTCTATTGATTATTGATGGTCTTGGAAATTCAAATATATTTTATAGAAACAACAAAAAATATGCTTTCTTTTAGTCTATCAATAGAGAATCACGTTTACTTTATATTTTATACTTAAGGGAGGAGTATAATTAGGTTTTAAAAAGTTTCTAATTATGAGACTTTTTAAGACCGCGATATGTCCATTCGCATAGCATCGTACCTGGCCGTTTACCACTGCTCCTCATAAAATGTACTACATGGTCCGCATCCATTACAAAATTGTGTGGACCCTGTATGATATCTCTTTAATGACATAGAAAATATGGAATTTTCTTTACGCGGATCGCATGCACCTTGTAGAGTGTAATCACTAAGCGCTAATGCAACGAATGATCAGGCTCCAAATTTTTCGGCAATTAGAAAACTTTTTTAAAACCCAATTATACTCCTTCCTTAAGTATAAAATATAAATAAGACATGAATCTCTATTGCTTGACTAAAAGAAAGCATATTTTTGTTTTTAGGTTCATTAAAATATATTTGAAATTCCAAGACCATCGGAAATCAATGGCAAAATGCATGCTACTTAATTAGTCATTTTTTACCAAAAATGGTTTCTACAGACGACTAAAAAGCAGTGAATTCAAAAGCTGACATCCTGCCGAGTCCGAAATGATATAAGATTATGCCGCAGGACAACCAGTATTACAACCGCCATCAAGTAATCCTTCCTAATCGAAAACGCAGCTCAGATTTTCGTCCAACATTTCATGAGATAGGTCACCCAATGTAAATGGCTCGCCGAATCAGCAATATTGAGTGGCTGACGTAAGAAGAGGCTCTTTGGCGTAACACGATTGTTCATTTGAGGTCAAAACTATGGCCAGTTTTTCCGATGCGAGTTTCCAGCTGTGAGTTTGGGTCTAGTCTCCGAGTTGCGAGTTAGGACTCATGTTTGCGGGCCTTCAATATTTGTCCGGTTTCTCTAAAGTAAATCCAGCCTCCATTCTTGCAACGCATTCGTCAGACAGCTTCTGAGTTTTCAGTGGGTGACAGTATGTATCTAATCTGTGTGCAAGTCATTGTTTAAGAGGCCGCGACATCTCAGTTACTGCGTGGCTATAGAGTAAGGATTTTTGAATTGACCGTATGATCGACTGAGTTGTTTTGACTTGTCGTAAAGGGCAAACACACAGATGTACATATTTTATGTAAAGTGCAGTATTCATTTGCTGAAGCGTCTATTTCGGGTGTCATTGAGGACACTTTTGCGCCGGAACCATTGCTTGATAATGTTTACTTCACTTTAAATAATTCAGTCAGTTTGTCGCCGTCACCGTTACCTGGGAATGTCATAGTTCCAATCAGTCAATTATTCATTATGTAGCATAATTATGTAATAGTTTATTTGACTCAGAAGACCGGCATTCGAACGAACTTCTTTCCGTATGCGGGCGAAAACTTTGTTCTCTAAAATGAAATAACATGAATTTTTTCATTTCACTTTCGACGCCCTTAAAAAATTAATTGTATTTCATGAAAAAAACACGCATGTAAATATTTATTTTCTCGCACATTCCGTAGAAAATTAAGACTTTATTTAATTAAGTTCTCTACCCAAAAGTATATTCTCACATTTACTGCCAGAAAAACGCAGTACTACCGCCAATTCAAGCCACAAACCGACGCGGCTGCATAGAAGAAATGCAGTAGATGAAATGCTTAACAAAGTTTGGAAGTGCGTTCTCTTTTCGAAAGAAAAAATACGGTAGATGTGCTAACTCATGAAATGACAACCAAAATTTCGAAATGTGTTTACGTTTCGAAAAACCTACTTAAGTGGTGTTGCAAAACTAATCATGTTGCAGCAGAAATCTATAATGATCAACTTACCTCAGGGTGTCAACTTTCGAAAGAATTAATTTTCGGCTGCATTCAATGCCTATACATTGCAAAAAATGACTGCTAAATGAGTATGCAATTGTCTTATTGATTTCCGATGTCCTTGAAAATTTAATTATATTTTATGAGAAACATGCATAGAAATATCGATTCTTTTACTTATCCGGTAGAACAGCACGTTTTTTTCAAATTGCATGCTCAAAAAAGATTATAATTCGGTTTTTTAAAAAAAGTTTCCAAATGCGAGATTTTTAAATACCGTTAAATGACCGGTTATGAAACGTCATGTATCTGCATTTACGCATATGGCTTATAAAATTTAAGAATATTGTTCAAATCCACAGCTTAATTTTATGAACCTCATATGGTTTCCTATTAACACCGTAGAGAAATGTATGGTTTTCAGTACACGGAAAATATACAACTTGTAGTTTTGAAACCCTGAATGCAAGTGGCAGCAGATCGGGTTCAAAATTATTCGAGAATTAAAAAAGTTTTTAAAACCGAATTTTACTCTTCTTTTTAACATGAACTTGGAAGAAGACGTGATTATGTACCGAATAAGTAAAATAATCAATAATTCTATGCATGTTTCTCATGAAATATGATTGAATTTTCAAGGGCATCGAAAATCAATGAGAAAATTGCATACTACCTAAGTAGTCATTTTTGCCGAAAAAAGGTTATTTTGAAAGCCAAAGCCCTGTGGTCACTGGATGATTATAGATTTTTGCTGCGTAATCATTAGTTTTACAACACTACTTAATTTATCTTTTCGAAACGTGAATGCATTCCCAATTATTGATTGGCATTTCATGACTAAGCACATCTACTGTATGTGTGTAGACTGTTTTGGTTTGTCACTGCACCGGATTTTACAGAAGAAAGACAAATGAAAACTAGTTAATCATGGTGGCAACCTGCCTACCATCACTAACATAATGCCGGCGTTTTTAGGATATGAGAGGTTGAAATAATCTGAACCATTGGTTGATTTGGAGTCTTACACAGCGCTCAGCTGGTATCGTGCAGCTGCGACGTATGCACAGCTGCCATGATGAAGGATAGCGGGCAACTTGGCAACCGGAAAGCGAAGTGCAGATTTGAGGGACAATGGTCATCAGAATGGAATACAATTTCAGAGGGGCGCGAAGGTGGTACTGGGTACTCGGCATATTCAATTCTTCGCAGAAAAAGGACATTTTTGTGCAAGCACGAAAAAGGAGCTGGCCGTCCCTTAGAATCGTCATTATGAACGAATGAAGGCATCCAGTGCCCTAATTACAGAAAAACACAAGCAGTACAATGTTAGCCACTCCAGGAATTTTGTAGATTGTGAATCAAGCCGTCACGTAAACGCTATCGAGGCTGACGATGAAACTGATTGAAATCGGGTTGGTCTCCAGAAAGTCTAACTAGACTTATTTAGATAAAGCCCAATTCAGCATATGGATCCCTCTCGACCAAAGTGATCTGGGTGTAGGCTGTAATGTCTTTCTTCGATATTTTGCTTTGCCGTTTTCAGTTAAGCCGAAAGCCCTAAACCGACGTATTTTTAACGGGTAACAGAGTCCTTTGGAGAAAGGTAACTGAAAGGAATGGATGATGTTTTTTTAATTTTATAAATATTCCTTGTCCGGCCACGAAATGAAAGCGGCTGCGACAGTTGTTGCAGGAAAAAGGTGGTCGCCGAAAGCTACATGTTTAACGAAACTGAAACCTATACCAGAAATTGCAAATGACATATTTTGTGTCAGCAACGCTGATAATCCCATCAGCTAACGGTAAAGCCACGCTATGAAACCGCACGTCAGATCTGATGGCAAGTGTATACTAACGCCAGACGATTGAGGGAATAAAACCCTCGGTATGGATTCCAACCTATCGAAAGATTAACTGAACCTACCTAGGGACAAAAAAAATCCCTAGAAGAAAATCTTTTTTGAAAGAATTCTGCGTGGGGGTGCAGTGACTCCGCAGACCGTATCTTTGTTGCAGCCGCTGAACATATGGCCAGTACTGATGACAACTTCTGCTAAGGTTAACCAGAGCCCAGAAGCGTCTGGAAAGAAAACCCCTGCAACGTATAGCTGTTTATCGAAAATTACATTAAGTCTAGCCGAGTTCTGGGAATAAAACCCCCAAAACATCCCTTCACGAAAGATTTATATTTAGGAGTTTTGCGATGACTGAACGAAGGACAATGCTAATGAGCTGGTAAAGCAACACTGTGGATGTTTTAAATGTTCAATGATCAAAAGTTGAACGGAAGCTAGCAAGCTTTGTGGTCAGAGAATATCTAGTACTTGCCGTTTACGAAAGAGTTCCATGTGGGATGCGGTTATCTAACGGGTGTCATCAATGTCTAACCCGCTAACGGCTACACTGTTGAACCTGTTTCTTGTATTGGTGACGTATTGACAGGATGGAGGAAATAAAACTGCTTATATGGATGGCATCCTATCGAAAGGTAAACCAAACATAAGAACGGAAGAGGAACATCTATAGAACATGCCGTTTACGAAAGAATTCCCTATGGGGGAGCAGGGACTTAAAGGATGTTGTCGACTTCGTAGCCACTAAAGGCAGCTCTGTTGTGCCCATGGGTGATATTGATGGCAATATTTTCAATGGTAAATCGAACCTCAATGGATAAAGGTGACAAAACAGCTGATATGGATGGCTACGCATTGAAAGGCACACCAACCGTAACGGCGTTAGGGGTAGAAAGCACCGTAGCACTCGCATTCTTAAAAGATTTCCGTTAGGTCTTCAATATCCGAACGAATTGCGTCTCTGCATTAGCTGGTGAAGCAACGCTAATGTTTGTAATTCAGTAGGCAACAATGTGTAATGTGCAATACTGGGTCTTTTACCGCGCCCCTGCTGGGATTTTGTCTTAGGAAACCAATTTTCTACCAGCTATCCGGAAAGTAAAAGAATGCTCAATTGCGAAGCACGTAATATTCTACAGCCCCGACCAACATACAATACAACATGGAATCATATAATGCACGAAACTGCTGGAGTATTTAAAAAGGCCTGCGTCGCAAGGTTTTCGAGCATGGACAAGGCAGATTGTCTCCACATGTTCATTATATGCAGTGCTTCCATTGTTTGCTGCAACGTCTGCACATCAGTCAAGCTGGTGAATTGTAGTCCCGTAGATCGCACAGTTCCCCGAGCTTGTCCGGAGCCGTAAACATAATGAATTTCAGTTACTGCAACAACGTTCTGCAAGTAAACGTAGATCGATTCCTCGGGCATATACACGGAAGGAGACTCTCGTGTGACTTTAATGGAACAGGAAATAAAATATTCGTTTGACGAATATAAAACACCGCATAATTTTATAAAAGCATCCAAGTAAACACATGTAGTCATGCATGGTTGCGTTTTTATGGTAAACTGAAGCATTCATTTAAATTGTATAGAGAGCTTAAAATGCAGAACGCATTATATTCATTTGAAGCTAATAATATTTAAACAAAATCATGAAGTAAAAAGAGAAAAAATATGTATTAAATTATCACAAATGATTTGAAGTTGACCTCTTGTACATATTGAATAATTTGAAACAGTCATAAAGATGATTGGTCATTATCATGCAGAAATCGTTAACTGCTATACAAACAGGACAAGTGTCTATACGCTACTTTTGGTATCGTTGCTAGTTGAAAGCCTTGGTAGGTACATCGCATGGCAGTTGCCAACTGCAATGGCTGTCGAGTATGCCGTCTTGAGGCTCATGCAGCTTTACCACTTGTCGAGACTTAACTGAATCATCTGAAGGAACTGAGAGTTCTAGTTCCTGCATCCTACTCCGATTGGCCCGCTGTAACCATTGTGGTTAGGGAATCCAATGTCTCAATCCGCATTCGTGCTAAATTCTACACCGGCTTAATGACACACTGATGCTGAACTGCTATGCACTGCCGTTTCAAGCTAATCTTTTTACCCTGATGAATGTGGCCACTCGCTTTGACAAGCTGGATATCGCTTATGAGTACCTGCAGATCGAGGTCGTCCCAGAGTCGCGCGAATTGTTGACCATTAACATTCCCCACGGTCTCTTCCAACATACAAGGCTGCATATTGGTGTCAAGAGCCCACCGACACAACTCCAGTAGACGAGTAACGCAATGCCAGCCTGCATCCCTGACACAGCTGGGTACCCGAACGACATCAGAATCCTGGGTCGCTCCTCTGGCAAGCTGAAAGGCCGAGTGTGTGCAATTCTCAAACTCGTCAAGGAATATGGTTTCAGGCCTGCGTGCCGACAAGTTCCAATTCTTTCACGACTCCAGAGACTATCTCGGATTCGTTTTCTGTTGTCCCGGTTGTCATCCAGATCCTGAAAACCTTCGGACCAAGCAACGATGCCTGCGTTGAAGAATGTCTCGTACCATCGTTAGTTTCGTGGTCGGATTAGCTACTATAGGTCCTTCTGCAATCGTTGAATAAAGTACGGACCCCACTTAACCGTCTGTTGCAGAAGGATGCTCCTTGTTGCCGGTGCTCCAAATACGAAAATGCCTTCGCCCAGCTAAATTCGATGTTAAGTTCAGATCAGCTGCCAATATTTGTTGCTGTAAATGCCTCCAACCATGCAGTTGCTTTCGTCATCTAACATACTTTTCCTGATAGGTCTGAACTTCGATCAAGTATGAATGTTAAATGCTAACCCCTGCGGAGAAGAAATATGGGCAAATAGACAAAGATAATTTAGCCCTCGTTTTGTCCGCCATGAAGTTCCATAAGCTGTTGTACGGTCGCGAATTCGTGTACTTGGAAGATCACAAACCACCGCCGTCAATCTTAGGTTCGAAGAAGGACATTCCTGTCTTTTAAGCCAGACGAATTCAGCGATAAATAACCATTCTTCCTAGTCACAGTTTCGGCAGTCTCTTTTGCCGTTTTCCCGACTTTGGTCAGGCTGACGCCCTTTCTCGCCTCATCTGCAATTATCAGGAACCTGAGAAAGACATTGTGATTGCCACTAATTCGATTGAGGACTATGTGCGCAGTCTCTTCTCAGATGCCATACAGTGTATCACTGTCACTTCCGCGGACAGATCTTGGCTCTCTGTTTACTCCGGCGATATTTGAAGATTTTTGCCGCCGGCATAACATTCGGCATTGTCGCTTCCTGTCCTACTTTCATTATTTAAACGGTCAGACGGATCGTTTTTTCAACATTTTTAGGTGAGCCCACCTGAAAGCTCTTGGGGAGGGGATTACGGACAAAAAAGTCCAGGCGTTCCTGTTTCCTACAGGACAACACCGAACCTAGCGTTGCCTAATGCCGTCTCTCCTACCGAGGCTCTGATGGGCCGAAAACTGCGTACAGCGTTTCATGCACTCGGTCCTTCCGGCCTACAGCTCGCACAGACTGGAGGTGTTCGTTTGTGCATTGTATTGGCAAATTTACTGGAATCGATTAACGAGGGTAATGGTTTCAAAGGAAGCAATTATCTCATTTCCTCAAAATGTGCATCCTTGTTATCCGTCCTGAAAGTCGGCTGCTATACAAACAGGACAAATGGCTATACGCTTATTTTAATATCTTTAATATTAAAAAGCCTGGTTAATATTTAAAAACCTAACTACGTACATCGTTTGACAGTTGCCAACTGCAATGGCCGACGAGTACGCCGTCTTGAAACAGATGCAGCCCTACCACTTGTCGAAGCTTAGCGGAATCGTTCGAAGGAACTGTGAGTTCTTGTTCCTGTATCCTACTCTGATTGGGCCGCTGTAATCATTGTGGTTAAGGAGTCCAATGACTCAATCCGCATTTGTGCTGATTACTACACCTGCCCAAATGACGCGCTGATGCTGAACTGTTATGCACTGCCGTTTCCGGCTAATCATTTTACCCTGTTGAATGGGGCGACTCGCTTTATCAAGTTGAATCCCACTGGTGCGTACTTGCAGATCGAGGTCGTCCCTAAGTCGCCTTAGGTCAGATCTGCTGCCCAAGCACAAGGACCTGACGCTGCAAATAGATGTTGCTGCAAAGGATTCCAACCATCGAGTTGTGATCGTCATTTTACATACTTTTCATGATAGGTCTGGACGTCGAGCATGTATGAATCTTGAATGCTAACCCCTGCGGAGAAGAAATACGAGAAAATAGACAGAGAGAATCTAGCCCTCGTGTTTGCCGCAGAGAAGTTCCACAAACTGTTGTACGGTCGCCATTTCGTGTTGTTGGCGGATCACAAACCATCGCCAATAATCTTTAGTTCGTAGAATTACATTCATGTCGGCCGAACTTAGAGATGTGTAACACTTCTTCTAAGTTACAGTATTCGACATCCTCTATTGCTATACTACCGACTTTGGTCTAGCTGACGCCGTTTTTCGCCTCATTGCAGGAACCTGAGGAAGACATTGTGATTGCCGATATTTAGATTGAGGACGATGTGCGCCGTCTCCTCACTGATGCCATACAGGGCATCTCTGACACAACGGCGGACATCTGACATCAGCGCGATTGAACAGGATCCTGACCTCCGTCAGGCCATCACATACGGGCAGACCTGCTGGTCGACGACTGCTTTCGCTAGCGATATTCGCCCGCTCTTCTTCTACCGAGCATCGCTGGACTGGTTTCTACGGCAACATGGGCCACCAGGTTCCACACTGTCCTCGATCTTAGCAGGCTGCAAAGATGTAACCTCTTCAGTCGCCAATACCTTGCCAACCAACGGAGAAGCCTTAGACGCACGTGTCTATCGACTTCGCCGGTTCGCTTAACGGATTCACCTACCTAATCTTAGTGAACGCCTACCCTATGTGGCCTCAAATTGCTCAGCTGAATCTAGCGACCACACTTGCCATCATGGCCTTTCTACGAAGCATCTTTAGCCAGCATGGCTTACAAGAAGTCTTGGTTTCAGATATTGGCTCTCGGATTACTTCGTCGATGTTTGAAGACTTCTGTCGCCAGCATAAAATTCGGAATCCTTGCGTCCTGTCCTACTATCCTAACTCAAACTGCCAGACGGATTGTTTTGCCAATATTTTTGTGGAACCCACTTTAAAGCTCGTGGGGAGGGCATCACGTACGAGATAGTCCAGGCGTTCCTATTTTCCTACTGGATAACGCCAAACTCGGCGTTGCCTGATGGCGTTTCTCCTACCGAGGCTCTGATGGGCCGAGCACCTTTACGAAATGCAATTATATATCCCTGAGTAAATCTTATTTCAGATGGCATCAAGACAGCTTTACTTATGTGCAAGTTCCACATGACTTTGACACATTTTAGGCATAGCGCATTTCTTTTCAATGTAGGCGAGCATGCCCCACCATAGAAAATTGGCTTAATCCTGTTAACCTAGCTTCTGCATACACATATATTAACTTTTAGTAACACCGACATTTAATTTTGTCTTGCAGATCCTTAGAAATTTTTAGTCCGGTTTATACAGCATTCTTCAGTGTTCATGAAATTGCTTAAATTGTAATATGCGCACCATATGATGTAGTCCAAATTCGACATTAGAGAAGGTCAGGTTGCATGTTATTTTGCAGTACTTTGCTTCCCGAACGCGATCAACATAGAAGCATTGATGCACTTCTGGATTGGCTGCTGTTGTCATGAGAAGGTGCGTTTTGCCTTCCAGGTTATATGACATGGAAGCCGTGAATGCGCAGGAATCCTCGAATCGTTTCTGAACAAATTCGTACAAGTGGAATCCATTCTCTGATCCCGGACAATGCGGACCGGTTTCAACTCATAAAAGGAAAACAGATACCTAGCATAACCACTCGTCTACATAAAATATTCAGCATATAGTTTTTAACTATATGAGTTCGTTTAGACACAGATGGCAGGCTGGGTGTTTCACGTAACTTAGTTGACCTTTGCATTTGCAAGCTACATCTGCAAGAAGGGATCGCAGCAATGGACAAATGAACATGACCATTGCCCCATGATCCGTAAACTAGATTGTCTTCCTTTTCTACCGACAGGTACAAAGATGTTCTATATTAAAAGTGAGCTCTATTCGTAGCCTGGTTTGTCTTTTAGTTGTAAGCGATTTCTCCGTCAGGATAATATGCCCGCTATTGTGTGCTCTAATCAGTAAATTATGATCGGGGACAGTTGGCATTGGCAAACGCCAGTTTTTCTTCAGTACCAGGGTGGTTGCAGAAGGGCGCTCCCTGCCCACCTACTTTGTTTGCCCCTGAAGTGCACATTCATACATGATCAAAGCAGGCCTTTATCACGCTTCCTACTTAGCAGTTACATTTGCAGTCTTAAACATTCAAAAGCCCGTGACTAATCACATATGATCACACAACTTACAAATGTTATGTAGGTTTTTTACATACACACATCTTCGAACATGTACTAGTTAGTGCGCTGACATACAGTAAACTATTTTTATTGTGATATTGTTGCAGATGTGTCTTTTCTTGTCTACTGGCGAAGACGGAGGCCGCCTTATAGCTAAAACCGATAGGATATCAATTAGTTTGAACAACCGTTTCCTGCTTGATTAAACACAGCGTGAAGAGCAGGCCAACTTTTCGTTATGCTGATTCAAACAACACGACATCCCATAAGTCACGCAGCAAGGACGGAGATTCCCATTTCATAGATTTTCAACAACACACATGGACGATTTCTACTTTACTCATTGCAGATTTATGGCAGATGCATTGAACATGAAATAGTTGATGCTAGGTATGAAAAACTCGGTCCGTTAGTTTCTAAAGAGGAAGCAAATATAAACAAGCACATGCTACGTTGTTTAAAGAATACTTACACAGAACATTTGCGATGCCACTGCCTGCATACAACAGCATCAAAACCATCGACGTCAAGACGACTTCTTTGCCCGACATGTTTTTAAGCAGAAGGCTAGTGAAAGAACTCGTAATTTATACACATTGAAGTTAGCAATTGGTCCCATGTTGCATAAACCCACATATTGCCAGAGTGTACGGTTGGGCGTAGATTATTAGCGATGCAGACAGACACCACATGCTTCGCCAATCATTGAAATTATATACCTTTGCACATATTTTTCGTAGATAATTTTGTCTCTGCTGCATATTTGCCGTTTAAAAATGCACAGTTATTTAAATATTACACAAGTTAAATAATTTTGAATGGTTTATCTCTTAATCGTAAAATTTTAAAAGTATATTTACGATAGGACGGTTTTTCGAAAGGGTATTTTGCGAATATTACCAATTGAACCATCAAAGCAGGTAAAAAACAAAAGATATATGGGTTGCCAGAAGGTCGTCCTACTTTGCTGTTTTAACCGTTTAAATTAAACCACTTGCACCTGCATAAGAAAAACGTCCGCACGTATTTGTTTACATTTCCTTTTCCCAATCGCAGTTTCATTCACGACACTTTCCGTTGCCCTTATGAAAATTTACGTCTGTAATGATGACCTTTTTTTCATCGATTTAAATGTTTAAATGACTGGATTGATTTCCGTTTTTCTACTCATCAATTGTTCAGGATGCCTCCACGAAGAATGTCGATTGCTGTCTAGTAGAGCTGACGTGAAGGTTACTTTTTATTTTGTCTGACGTTCGAGAATCAAAAATAAGTCGTAGCAGTCTAGTCAAAAAAGAGTTCTCTTTAGAATACTGGTGATTGTTTTGCTGATTAACGAATATATTACTGAGGCATCGTGCAGATTAGAAATTCTGGAAGCCGTTTACGTGACCTCGCGGACACGGGCGAAAATGGGGAAGAATCACAGCTCAGACTGGAACGGCTATAATCCATGGACGGCTACTCTTCGCATCGCAGTCTTTCGCAAACCTAGCTGAAACATTTATTAACTGACCAATTCCTCTCGCTATTCAGGTCAATTCGTTTGCGGTCCAAACAAGTCATAACTAAACATATTTGCAGCCTTGCACATCATGTTTTTTTAAGTTTCATATGCTTGAGACCAAGGTTGTGAGTCTTGGTGCGCAATCATCAATTGCGTACAGCACCAAAGGAGTGAATTTGATTTACAGTTAAATTTGTTGATGTGAACATAATTCGAAGAAAAATGAGTCCTTTGGGAAATTTAACAAACGCTATTTCGTAAATTTGAAACGATGGTGCCCGTTTTTCCGTCAG